AACACCACCAACTGCCTTCCTCTGGGTCGTGGGTGCAAGAAGATCCAGCCGTCTGGTTGCGCCCTGAGCTGGGCCGCACGTTGCAGCCGAAAGCCCTCCCGAGAGACGACAGTGTCGGCCATTCTGGCTTCGGTCCTTGCATGACTGCGCTCAAGACAAATCCAGGAGAGACGCGCCCATCTGTGGCTGGAAGAGGATGGGCTGCTCTTATTATTGGTCTCCCTGGGACTGAACTAAAGCGCGGCCATAATCCCCCAAAGGCCCCGGTGATTGTTGCCAGAAGGGAGGGACAGACGTGGGTAGCACATGTCTGTGAGTCGGTGTCGGCATTCAAGGGCCGACCACAGGGCCCTGGTGGGCTCTCGGCTGCTCCCTGAGCTCAGGAACAGGTCACTTAGTAATTGCCTCTTCACTAGCAGGGACCTCGAGCAGCACTGTTGGCTGCCAAGGACGGAGACTCTCAGGTTAGTTCACACAACACAAGGCCAGAGAGACTGCTTGGTCCATCGGGGCTGCCCTCAAGGAACGCCCGAGGCGAGGCTGGGTGCTTTAAAAAGAAGAGCCCACCTGGCTCGGGCCCTGCAGGCTGTATGAGGATCGGCTCCCGGGGGAGGGGCAGCAGGCTGTCCCATGGTGAGAGTGGAAGCAGGAGGGAGGGCGGTGCTGGGCTCTGTAGATAAGCAGCTCTCACGTGAACTGCCATCAAGGACTCACCCGTGACCACCAGATCAGCACAAGCCATCCACGGGGGTACCCGCCCCACAACCGTTCACCTCCCACCAGGCCGCGCCTCCAATGCTGGGGACCACACTTAACGTGAGGTTCTGGGGGACAACGCCCGGGCTCTTCAGGGAGGGGTCGCATGCAAGCACCCTATGAATCCAGCCGTGCCAGCCAGTGAAATGGGCTCGTGAGCTGCCGCCTGCAAACCCTGATGGGCTTGGGTGTGGACACCACCACTCCTCGTTACTGAGCGGATGAAGGGAACCCGGGCACACAGAGTGCATGGGACAGTGCCTGGCACGAGGGCAGCTCTCAGGCTGTGGTCGCTCTGCTCCTGGGGACTATTACTCCGCGCCAGGTGCCGTGTGACCACACCAGTGGGGTTTCTGATCGTGCCACATCAACTTAGGAGGCGCAGCGGGGCGCATCTGTGCCTCCCCTCGCATGGACCTGCCCTGTCGTCAGGGGAAGGGAGAAAGCTCTTCTCACAGTGGGTCAATGCGGACACCCAGCTGGGCATCGGCATCAGGCACTGGCCCCCTTATCTGACCCCAAAGTGACATGAGCGTGCATGAACAGGAAGCTTTTGTTTAGATAATGAAGACCGTCCGTTATAAAATTCTGTGCTGGACGGCAATCTAAACAGGGCAATCTAAAAGGGAAACTTCTAGGTAGTTTCTTTTTTTACGTTTTATTTGTTTTTTATTTTGAGTTTGAGTCTCTCTCTGTCGCCCAGGCTGGAGTGCAGGGACATGCTCATGGCCACTGCAGCCTTGACCTGCTGGGCTCAGACGATCCTTCTGCCTCAGCTTTCCAAGTAGCTGGAATTACAGGTGCGTGCTACCATATCCGCCTAATTTTTTGATTTATTGTAGAGATGAGTTCTCACCAAGTTGCCCAATCCCTGGACTCAGGCAATCCTCTTGCCTCGGCCTCCCAAAGTGCTGGGATGACAGGCGTGAGCCACCACGCTGGGCTTACATTTTATTTTTAAACAGAGATGAGGTCTTGCTCTGGGGCCCAGGCTGGCCTCAAATTCCAGGGCTCAAGTGATCCTTCCATTTCAGCCTCCCAAAGCACTGGGATTACAGTTGTGACCATGGCGCTGGGTCTGGTTTCCACTTATGTCACAGGCAGCGGGATGATTTCACTGTGGTTTGCTGAAGCCTTGGACTCTTGCAGCTGTGACATCCCAGGACCTTTATCATGGTCCCCTTCCCCCCTGCCAAGCCCTCATAAAGGAGATTCTGCGAGGGAAGTGCAGAAAACCAAAGCTCAGAAAGGCTGAAAAAGCACGTCCAGAGACACAGCCAATGAGCGGGAGAGACAGGACTCAAACTACATTCCCAAGTGCAAAATGCACGCATGTAACTGCAGCTTTCTTGAGCCACGGGCATTTGGAAACAGACAGGTGCAGTCACCGTGTTTTAAAATGATCTGTTTCAGCCGGGCTTGGTGGCTCAGCCTGTAATCCCGCGACTTTGGGAGGCTGAGGTGAGTGGATTGCCTGAGCCCGTGGGTTTGAGACCTGCCTGGGCAACTTGGTGAGACCTCATCTCTACAATAAATCAAAAATCAGCTGGGTGTGGTAGCGCACGCCTGTAATTCCGGCTACTCGAAAGGCTGAGGTGGAAGGATCGACGGAGCCCAGTGGGTCGAGGCTGTGGTGGTTGGGAGCGGCCACTGCACTCCAGTCTGGGCGACGGAGTGAAACTCCAACTCAAAAAAATAAATAAAATAAAGTAAAATGATCTGTTTCTAGAAACATCTGACAAGGTCTTGTGCTCACGCTGTTGGGAAACTTCCCAGTAAGGAGAAAAACAGCCGCATTTAATGTTCTCTCTTCTAAGGAAAAGCAGGAAAGGATTTCTTCAATGTGAAAAACCCCAGGGTCCCACGCCGGATTCTTCCATTTAGACAGGCCCACGTTCGAGACAGTGTGTAAAACAGGTCAGGCTGCAGAGTCGCTGACCTGAGCAGCTGAGTGCAAGTCCTGGGGCGCCAACACATGGCTCCAGGTACCTTGAGCAAGCTGGCAGGTTTGCACCATTTCCCCTGGAGCAAAGTCAGATGGTGGTGCAGACAGAAACGCAAGGAAAGCACGGAGCTCGAACCCGGCGCCAGAAAGACCTGGCCTCAGCGTGGCTGGGCCGGGCAGCTGCAGCCAGCCCTGCACCTCCTCAGTGCGGCAGTGACCCCGAGGAGGAGCACAGGTGGCCTTGGTTCCAAGCAGTGAGGCTGCAGAAGGGAAGCCAGCAGCCCTGAGCGTGGATGAGGCTCGCAAGTGTATAAGGCTGGCCCCTGGTCCTGCCGACAACTTGGCCTAGAAGGCTGCTTCATTCTCTCAAGAGGCCCAAAGCTGGCTGGGTCCGGTGGCTCATGCCTCTATCCTAGCACTTTGGGAGGCTGAGACAGAAGGACTGCTTGAGTCCAGGAGTTGGAGATCAGCCTGGGCAACATAGCAAGACCTCGCCTCTACAAAAATACAAAGAAAGTATCCGGCCATGGTGGTGCATGCCTGTAGTCCCAGCTACTCGGGAGGCCGGGGTGGGAGGATCACCTGAGCCTGAGAGGTCGAGGCTGTGGTGAGCCCAAACCCTGAGACGTGAGTTCTTCCAGGACACTGTGATGTGGAGTCCAGGGCTGACTGCAGGGGTGCGAGGCAGAACCTCACCTCCTGATTCCTCTAGGCTGACTGGGCAGGGGCTCAGCTCCCTCCCGGACACACAGTGAGGTCCGCTTACCTGCCCACCGGGCCTCCCCCCCGAGGAGAGGATCCAGTGGGGCTGTCACCACCCAGTGGTGACCACGATGACTCCTGTGTGCCACGCAGACGCTGCCACTGCCCTGCCAGCCTCGACGGTGTGGCTCTGGGTCCCGGTGCTCCATCCCGAGGCTCTGGTGTGAGCCACGGTTCCTGCAGAAGCATGAGGCAGCCGCAGGGCCCTGGTGGATTCGGCCGGTTTGGCGGCCCTTCCCCAGCCCCCCCCCCCCCCCCCCCCCCC